TTCTTTGGATAGTCAGGTGCCTAGACCTGCACTAAATAACTTAGCTCCATCCTTTCCACAGTTTCTGGCTTTCTGGGTGGGAAACTTTACTTTCAGCACGGTCGAAAGTTTCAGGGGTGTGTGTAAGCTACGAATTCCTTTATTTTCAGCCATTCTCGCAGTTTAAAGTTAAGCCAAATCGTTGAAAAGTTGGCTTTGCGGCCAACGGCAGCCGGAAGGCTTCAAAATAAATGCGCTGCGAAAGTCAATCAAGTGTTGCAACATCGACTTTCTATCCGCTGCCCCTCTGCCACTCGCCACTTTCTCACTGAGTTTCCCTGGAACAGCATTTACATCTTGATTGCAATTGATAGGTGGTCGGCAGGGTAAGTCGAGTGCAGCAGGAGATAGTTAAAAGTGCCTGGCATTTCCTATTAAATATTAATCACACTGAAAGTGGACGGTGGAGAATCTGCTGAAATCGATTGATACTGAAATGCTGTTCAGTAATTAATTGGAAAGATTAATGGTTCGAAATATATATACGGAAATAGCTTTGTGTATAAACTTTAAATTGGTTCCGTTGAAGAATACTCTTTAATACTTTTTATATTTATGGCTTATCAGAGCTTTCCTTTGATTTTAATTATCACCCAGCCAAATTAAAAGCACTTGTTTTGTATACCTTTATTATCCTTAAATTTTTTCCATTTCCATTTTTTGATTACCTTTATTATCCTTTAATTTTTCCCGTATTTCTCCATATCCCAAGCATTAATTTACATTTATTTTCAGATTTCCTGAGTTGTTACCTGCTTCTATTTATCTCCCCCAGCCTCTTTTTCTCATTTTCCTTTCTGGCCTACAAAATAATTGCCTACTTTTCGGTGCCACCAAACTTCATTTGAATTCTCCCAGGTTTTTAGAACCCATGGGAATAAGTTTCGGTTTCCTCGAACGGCGTTTGTGTTTCCCAAACTTCCCCTGGACCTTCCTCATCAACCAATGCAGACTGTAAAATTATACAAATTAATTTGGGAGCGACAATTGCGTCGAGTCGCATTTGAGTGGGAAAAATAGGGCGGGAAGGGAAAGCTGAAAATCCCTGGGCTGGAGGATCTATTCCGGTTGCCATTTCCTGTTTTGGCGGCGGGCTGTGGGCGTGGCATGGCATTAATTATGCTCAAGTGTCCGCTGGGAAAGCGGCCAACACTTGTTCCATAATGACTTTTGTACCATCTAGACGACACGCCCTCGCCCTCAAAAAATGAAAAAAAGGGGGCCATCAGGCTTTTGATTTGATTTAGAATTCAAGCAGCTTTAAAAACGAGAAAACGGGGAAAAAGTAAAGGATTTTATTGCATAGAACTGGACATCAAAAGTCGAGCTGAAAATTTATCGGTCCAGCAACAGCAAGGCAATATATCAGAGATTTATGTCAGCATCATCACCCACCTAAAACAGACAGAGACGGCATGCGAGAAATGGAAAGAGAGCAACAATGAACCAACTATAAGCCCGAAAAAGAGAGTAAATAAAAGCCAGATACGCAATACAAGAAAAAAGGACCCGAAAAGCCAAGGAAAACTGAAATTGGTGAGCGTAAAAATGAAATTGAGCAGCAGGCTCCAGTCTATCTTTAAACAAGTATATGTGTGAGTTGGGAAAAGCAGGGAAGCAAATGGCAAGCAAATTGTAAGCCTTATCGGAGCCTGTAGCTTCAGGATGGGAGTGGAAAATGGGAAAACGGATAAACTGGCAGAAAGCAAACATGCAAATAAATCTGTGGCTCCCAGAAGTTGCTCGACTTAATTTGATTGAAGGAAAAACTAAAAAAAAAAGTTGAGAGCGAAAGGGAATTAAGTGACCCAGCTAGGAGACAACTGCTTCTAGGATTTCCCCTTAGCGGAAGATAAAACTTTAATTTGTGCTGGAAAAGTTGTCAGGCAAGAGCTGTTTGAGAAATCTAAGTTTTGTTTTCCGTTCAGATAAGAGAGTAGATTTAAGAAAACCTAAGGAAAAGGTGTCTAAAAGAATGCTATGGAAAAAGACAATGTCTTTCAGAATGAATTCATGTAATTTTAAAGTCCGAAATAAATTGTTGCATACTTATTAGCACCTGAATATTTCTGAGCACACTTTCTAGGTCACAAATCTAAGACACGGATTTGTTTTCCGCTCAGATAAGGCAAATGTGTCTAAAAGAACGCAATGAAAAAAGACAATGTCTTTCAGAACGAATTCATCTGATTCTCAAAAACGAAACAAATTGTTGTATACTTTTTAACACCTGTATATTTCTGTGCCCACAGTTCGGTTTTCCGCTCAGATAAGACAGAAAACCCAAGGAAAAGGTGTCTAAAAGTATGCAATGCAAGACAAAGTCTTTCAGAATGAATTCATCTGATTTTCAAGTACGAAATAAATTGTTGCATACTTTTAAACACCACACATTTTCTAAGACACAGTATTGTTTTCCGATCAGATATGAGAAGAGATCTAAGAAATCCTAAGAAAAAAGTGCCTGAAAGTAAGCAATGATAATAAACAATGTCTTTCAGAATGAATTCAGCGAATTTTCAAATCCGAAATAAATTGTTGCATACTTTTGAACACCTGTATATTTCTGTGTACATTTTCTTTCTCCGAGTGCGAGATTGAAATAAAAGTTTCTTTGCGGAATGTCATTGATTTATTTCTTATCTTCTTGAAAAGAATTTTTTCTTTAATGCGTTCATTTCATTACCCATGCTCTCATATTTCGTTTGATTCCCCACATTATTCAGCTGTGCCTGTTTGCTTTTATCTTTATTTTGCCCGCTTTTTCCCACTTCTGCCGACTTTTCCTCCGGCCACTTGTATTTATTTGTTCTCAATTACTCTCGCATCTTGGGGCCGCCAACATTTTTAAAGCTTAACAGCATTTTTCCACCCACTTGACTGCTGAAAATAATATAAATGTATCCATCCATATATATGAAACAAGGAAGAAAAAGCGAAATTGTTCAGCTCTTATTTCCATTTCTGTGGCTTATTTCGCGTTAGCCCATTTCTGGGCCGTTTGTTATTGTTGTTTTACGCTTTCGCACTGCCGCAATTTTAGATATTTCTTTTACTCGGCCAAAAGGGAAAAAGAAGCAGAAACAGAAATTGTGGCCGGCAAAAAGTTGAAGTTTATTTATTCTACTGTGGGTGTGGAAAACCAGGGAAGCGGGAATGAAAGCCACCTGCACTTTTTCTTTCACGTGCCAGCGACCACGAGCCACTTTTCCAGGAAAACGGGATGGAAAATGCCTGGACTTTCATTACATGGCCAGAAAACGCAGAAAACTTTTCACTTGCCCTCCCGTTCTTCTGTTTTTTTTCCAGCTGTTTTTTTTATTTTTTTATTTGGTTTTGGCCTGCGGCTCTGGTTGCAGGTATTTATATTTAAATGCGGCTTGCGGTTCGCCATTGCGCCTATTGTTATGCAATGAAAGTTTGTTCGCCAGCAGCTCCCTTAACGTCAATTTTGGATGGGTTTTTCCCCTTCTTTGGTCCTGCTCTCAAGAGCGCCAGTCCAGACAATTTTCATAAATTTTCCGGGACCTACCCGTCTTGCGGTTTCATGTCTCTATGGCAGCCATTTCTCAGCGACCTTCAATGTCAACCTTTTATTATGTTATTGACTTCTAACCACATTTTCACACCAAAAATATGTGTCCTTGACAAAAAGGACACACAAAGGGGCAGATAAAAGCTGTGAGATACCGTTTACGAAGACTAGAAAAAACGTTTAGAAAACTCTGTGAACCATAATTTGTTGTGGTTTTTTCTCTCTTTATTATAGTTTTGGGGCCTAGCTCCTTTTTTTCAATACAAGAACAAAGCGTAATATAGAAAATATGCATAAACATAAATAAATAAATATATATCGAATTTTTGTAGTATATGTCTGACATATCTCATACATCCTAAACGGCCCAGGCATATTTATATATATTTATGTACATATTTTTTTGTCTGATGACGCAAAAAGTGTTTGCCCCACCCCATTTTTGTCTCTTTTTGGGGCTTGTATTTTTTGCTGTGTGCTTGCAAAGTGAAATTTATTAGAAACGCAAAATCTGTTTGCAGATTGTGTATAAGATTTGATTATTTATGGTCAGTTGTTTGTTGTGGCCAGCAAGCCAGAAGCCCACATTGAAAATTGGCTAACAAAACAAGCTAGCAAAGGCGGGGAACAAGCCAAGGAAAAAGCGTAAACAGATAGCGAACGCAGGCCAAGGGAGTTGATTTATGTAAATTTCTTGGTTTCGCCCACAAAAGTTGAGGCGGAAATGTTGTGGAAATATGGAAAATTATATTCAATAAAAATATCTTCCTCATAAGCCAAAAATTCGCATTTACAAAGAAAAAACTAAAATGTTCTTACAAAAGTTTCAGCAATAAATTAAGGTTTGTCAAAACATATATTCGCCAACCTCCGCAAATATGTTCATAAATTTAATTGTTGAAATATTGGCAATTTTAATTTCATTATGGTCAAAATGCCCATAAGTCAAGTTTAATTCAATTGTTCTTACTTTAAATCAATTAATAATAGCCGAACCGTAAAACTTTTCTATCTTCTTGAAACTTATACCAAATAATTCCGTCTTGTGCGCAAGAAAATTCCAAGAACTAGCTTTAATTGTTTGAAATCTTAACCCACATTGGTCTGGGACCCAAACAAATCTCCTTGGACCCCGATTTCTTGGGCGAATTCGCTTCAACATTCTTTCAACATTCGTGAGCTTTCGTTTCCCCATTGAGACACAAGTTTTGCATCCACTAAATTAAACTAGGAAAAATTCCCCTGCTCACACAAAAAACTCTTCAACACAAATTCAACTAATTAACTTAAGGCTCCTCGAGGAAGCAACCAAAGCCAAACCAGACCATTCCAGAATTCTCCCTCCATCAACAACAGGAAAAGCAAATAATTTTCAACAAATTTAACTAACGTCGAAAAAAAAACTTTACCCTGTTGTTGCTTTCAGAATTAACCCGGCGGAGAAAGGAGAAATTCAGAGGAGTACGAAAGAACTGGAGAACTGGAGCGTGAGGTCAAAACTAAACAGGAGGTAAGTTGGGCAAACAACTCCACTCGCAATTAACGCTAAAGGGTTTGGGTTCTGGGAATCCCCGAAAAATAACTCGACACCATTTGGATATATTTTAACTGCCTTTGACGGTATTTTATTACCGGTCACTATTTGCATACTGACTCAAAAGCACTTGCCGCATGCAAGTGAAAAACTATTGGGCTATTGGGGTTACCTTAATGAAATACGCGTTACGGAATTTGCGTTTTCCATGAATAATACATGATCCAGGTGGACTGCAACTGCAACTGTTGCTCCAGGCGTATGTATATGCGACCTTTTTGTGACTGACAAACTGGCAGTAAGTTTATTTTAACAGCCAGATATCCAGTGGGAAAACTTTAACCCAACTGCCATTAAGGGGTTAAATAGGAGCTGTTCTTATTTTTGTATTTTTTCACCCTCCACTGTTGTACTTTGGCAAAAAGTTTTTTCGCTGAGTTTTCGTTTTTATTTCGTGCGTCCGCAAATATTGACCGAATTAACAAAAGCTGCTGCGAAAGTTTCACCGCAAACAAAGGCGAGCAAATAGCGGTGGCTGGGAATAGTCCCTTCTCTTTCTTACTTCGCAACCCCCTCTCTTTCGCACATCCTGTAAGTGGGTTACTTTGACCTGACCTGTCCTGCGAAGTGTCAACATGTCTTGGTAGCCCAAAAAAGAAAAGAAAACGCTTCGCAAATGGAAAACTTATTACTGACACTAAGCAAATTTTCTACCTCACTGGAAGACAATGGTTTTTTTAACAAAAAAGAAAAACCAAATAAATTAAAGTACCCAAAAAAATGGCTTCATTTTTATAATATTTTTAGAAACACAATTGAAAAATGTATTTTAAACTGTGGTATAAAATATTTAACACTTATATTTATTTTGCGAATACATTTTTATAGTATTTCAACCTAAACAAACAAGCAGCTCAAACAAAATAGTTTTTATTTAGGCAGGAATCTACGGCCAAAACAAATTGTAACCAATCCAAAAAAATTTTGGAACTACAAAAAAAAACTAAAATGGAATTCAAAGGGGGGGCTTCGGAAGACGGGGAGTTTGGCTAAAAAATGTGGCCATGTTTAGTATTTGTATTTGGAAATTCCGTGCACGTTCGGCCACGGGGGTACGTGTTTGGTCCTGGGAATCGAGGAGCTGTACACCAGATATCCACCCCCCGGGCAGTTGGAGTCCAGTTAGTTAGGGAATCGGTTGGCGAAAAGGGGTTTCGGGTAGTGCTGAGAGCCCTGAGGTTTGTCGGGTGAAATGCTAAAAGCAAAAAGTCATGCAACTAAATCCTGTCGAAAACGTTTTAAACTCCCAAGGAAAAGGAATAAAAAGGATTTGCGCTAAAAAGCAGAGGAAAATGTGAAAGTCAGCGGGGGTTGGCTTAGACCGGAGACTAATGCAAGTGGTGGACTTAAAAAAATCCAAAATATGCGGTTCGGCCATAACGAACTTAAATGAGCCAAGAAGGGATTTTCTCGGTTCGTGCCCTGCAATAGCAACTAGGAGTTTTCCCGACTCAATAAGATCATTTGATTTGGGGAAGTATGTAATTATCACGTCCTAAATGCCTAAATAGAAACTAATAGTTTGGAATTTATAGACCTCAAAGTATGTTTAAGCAATAAAATGTATCGATTTTGTTCATAAAAAATATGATCCATATTTTCTTTCCAGTTCTTAAAAGAGTTACCAGTAACATGTCTAATCCTCTAATTGAGTTTTGAATTTACACAGCAGTCCGCTTTAATCCAAGTAGAGTACAAAATATTGCGTATCCCCATTACAAATCCTCTAAGTGAATTCTGTTGGCAAATAAGAACTTATATTTCGTTGAGTCAGCACTTAGTGCAGACTGGCATGCAACATTGCATCCGTGCAATGCAGCTGTACCCCTGTGCTTTTCCCCTCTATCCCTCCGCTTTTTCCTAGCCCATTTCCACCGCATTTTCCACCCCAAACTCGCCCTCTTATCGGGGAACTTCAGAGTTGTCAATGACTGTCAGCGGCAGACAAGCAGAAAAGCGAAGCACGACATTGCTGTTGGGTATCAAGGGGCATCTGTATTGCGGGTACTAAGGGGCGGTGGAAAACTCCACACTCGACACTGCACTGGTGACATTTCAATTTTCACACACGCTCTGCGGTTTTTGGCAAACGAGAAGCCCAGCAGGAAAACCCAGTGAGGGCGAGAAAAGCGGAAAGAAAAACCGAAAGGAAATCAAAGCGATGCGATGTCTTAAGTGGAAGTCCAAGCAAAAGGGCGTGGCCAAAATTGGGGGTGTGGCCACTATTGACCGCAAACCACAAAGTGCAAATTAAAATTCAATAAAGCACAAAGGGCCTAAGCCAGTGGAGATTCACAGCTGGAAAACTTCAATAACAGTAGACCATTGCTAATGTGATTTCATTAAAATAATACAAAAGAAATGGTATCTTGACTTTTAATTATTTTTTTGGATATTAGCTTTTCCTTGAAGTAAAACCTCATTACTATCCTAATTAAAATCTTTCTAAAATGTATGACAATATATTTTGCTTAGTTATAGTTAAAAATAGAGGGCATAGCTGAACAAGCCTGAGAAACCTGCCGCAGAAGATTTATAAAAATGCTGAATGAGGAATGGTAGATATAAATCTATAGATATGAATTCCGATTTTTATATATTTTGACCTAATGGTTTATGAGTAGTTTTCCGCAACAGGAATCTTCTGTAAGGTGGTTCTTAAAAAACCGGGTTTGATGCCAAACAATTTTTAATTTGCCTACAAGATTGTCACCCAATCTTTGGATTTATACCATTCTTTAAAAGTAATTAAAATCGCGACAACACCTCCGATTGCCATTTACATCATATAAAATATTTATAAATTCCCGAATAATCTACCAACTTTAAAAAAAGTTTACCCCATCCATTGACCTCTGTAACTTGAAATACCATTTTCTGGCAGACTGTAAATTTCATTGGTAGTCAATTCCCAGCCCGCACCCCAAAATGAGTTCTCTCCCAAATTGCGTACTAATTAGCCACAGAAATTACTCTCTAACTGGGAAACAGCAAATGGGCGTGGGAATTCGGGGATTGGGAATGTCTGGGTCCTTTGTTAGGACAGTTCAAGGTCCTTTGACAAGGTCAGTCGTTAACCAATAGGCCTCCTTTCCCCGCCGCCATGGTCAAGCTTATTTGCACCCAATCTTATACCCCACTCATTTTTCCCCATTTTCGTTGTGCTGGAAATTGCATGCAAATTTCATAGCCTGGGGGCTTTTCATGCGAGGCTTTTCCGAAAGCAACAAAGACTGAGCCTGCCAGGGTTTTTCACACTCGCCTCCTGCTCCTCTACTCGTTGACATTGTAAATAAATGGGTGTGACTGAAAACTGTGTCAAGCTGCAAGTGCAACAAGAACAATAAAAACAATGCCAAACAGGAAATGTGCAAAAATTTGTTTAAAATTTCAACAGTTAAGCTCCAGACTGTGTTTTCTTTCGCATATGTTGTACACACACTTGTGTGGCCACGTTTGTATGCAAAATTTAAATACACTTTATTGTTTGTGGAGCGAATTGGGTCAAGCAAATTGCAGAACAATCGCATGCCTGAGCCCATGAGCTATTAAAAACCGGTAATAAGTTGCGGTGGTTAAAGCGGAAGTGCACATGTTGACTGAGGGTTAAGTTCTGTAAAAGTGGTAATAAGAAAAGTTTTATAAATCCACTTGGCTTCACAATGAATATTCTGCACATACCATAATTCTCGAAAGCACTAATAGTTTTAATTCCCATTTTATATTTATGTCTCACTCGCTAACTCTTCAGACAGTCTTTCTATATCCCAAGACCCCTCCTCCAATTTATTCTCCAGTGCAAAAATAAATCTAGTAAAAGCATGGCAAACATATTCATATATCAAGGTGCCACATAATTTTTATGCGGGCAACAAAAAGTGAGAATAAAACAAAATAAAAGTGAGGAAATAGGGGGAAAAAGTAAGCGAGATAGGGAAAAGCAAAGGTGAAAGCGAGTTCAGCATAAAAATCCCACAAGTGCATAAATTTCAAGCGGATTCTTTGGTGTTATGATGCTCTCAGGCAGTAACAACATCCCCGGGAATGAGGTAAATTTAATATGCCCGTTGCACTAGGCAATGGAACAGCTTGTGCAACTGCAGTGGTGCAACACGTGCATGTGAGCCACACCTGCCGAGATTTTTGGACATGGCTGCATTTCCCGCTTTTCCTTACACTTCCCACCAAGTTATGGCCACAATTTCTGGGCGAACTCGGCACTCCAGCTTACTTCCACTCCTTTTATGCTTCCTAGCGCTTTTTACACGCTTTTTTTGCATTCACAAGTCGAGATTTCCAGGTGCCAACTTTGCACTGAGAAAAAAACATACCTGTCAGTAACGTACTTTATTGTTTTAGTTTTTATGAAAATCATTTTGTCATCAACAATCATTTCAAATAGATATGAAATTTTTTAAAAAACAAATAGTATTTACTTGTCTAGTCCATTAAATCAACTAGTTTTAGAGCGAATAGAACCTTTATTACACTTTAAAAAAATCTAACAAAATTTTTCATTGTGTATAATAGGAAGTGAGAGGAAGAGCAGAGCTCTGTGCCGCTTAAAAAACCAAGAAGTGTCACCAGGACGACAAGGAAGCTTCAGCTTCTGTTGCTTCTTGGCCAGAACTTTGCCTTAGCTTGAGCAAATAAAATTTTTCCAAGCTCTGCAGGTGTGCCTGGAGCGGTTTTCTGAGGTGAGATGAGGTAAGGTATACTAGTGGCAGGGGCGGCGGGGGCGTGGCCCCTCCTATTAGCCTGGTTCGCATGCCAACTGAAGTGGCAATAAGTGCCATGCATATTGTCGCCAGCAGCTGCCGTCGACTCTGAGGAGCCAAGGAAACGGGGGCAGAAGAGGGTTAAGAGATTGCAAATGCAACTTAGCTGGCAGTGCAACTTGGCTTATTAGAATTACA